AAAAAAACCTGACCAACACATGCTAATGATGAACACCTCATCCAGACCGGTAGTCGTTTCCAGTGGAATTCATTGCCACTTTTTACAATTTAACGACTTTCTTCGCAGGAGGACGAATGAAAGGGGATCAACAATGACAGCTTCAGATTTAGATATGAGCCGTTGTGCTGAACAAGCCTGGCATGACAAACGCTGTTTGGGTAATCCTATTACCTGTGCGGGAATGTGGTGAGCAGATTAGCGAGCTCAAAATAAGGCCTGCCCTGTACGCAGGAAGCGTGCATCAGATAATGCCCCAATTATCTCCTCCGGTCTTATCACGCTATTCTTTCGGTATCAAAGCTCAGCGTAAGCCGGATCACTGTAAATCTGGATACAGGAACTTCGACCTTTCTGCCGTGTTCGCTGGTCTTCGTGATGCTCTTTAACAAACTTCTTCAAAGAGCAACTGGATTTATACTGAAGTTAAATTACACACAGGGAATTTACTGGTTACTAATTAGGTGATTTATTAAGGAAATCAGTTAGATTTGATTTGCGGATCAAGTGGCTGAATTATTTTTATCTACTGTAGTCGATGAAACAAAAATAAATTCAGATTTGTGGTGAAAACATGGCAAAATGGATGAGAGTTTCTGAGATATTAACAGTTTCTGTAAATGACCAACATTATTGGTCATTTACAGCATAAGATTTATTCAAGACTGGACCTTTTCTTTACTATCAAGAAGTTCAAAAACGTATTCAGCTTAAAGAAAACGCCGATTAAACAAAATGTTTTTGGGCACAGCTAGCATAATTAGGGTTGGGCAACTTTTGAATTTGAACATTCCAGTTTCAGCTCCTATTCCAGTTCCTAACAATTCTCGATTATGATTCTGTTTAGAGACAAGTAAAAAAAAAAAAGAGTCTAGATGGTTTAAAAGAGCCACAGAGATCCAGTCGATCCTCGACTTCTTAATTCATTGTAATTCGAGGAGGTTATGAGTCTTTGTTTTTCTTTCACCAAAAGGTGTCGTAGTTTGCTTTTTTTTACATCCATGTCACTGACCTTTGAACTGACTACGTATCACTGTGTATATTATATTGGATCTATTTTTTCTGACGAATTGTTAATCTATATAAACTAACTGAACTGTATCAAGGCTGCAGAATGTAACTTTTGAATTATTTTTTTACGTATTTGTTGAAACTGTCTGTATTTTGTCAGAATGATATGAGAGAGAAATCAAACTTCTCTGCCTTCTCTCAGTGCTAACTGCAAACAACCAATCAGAATCAGGAGACGGGTCTTAGCGCTGTAAATCATGCCTGTGTGCGGCCACATAAATATGAAAAAAAAAATGTTAATAAAAGTTACATACTGTAGTTTTAAAGCTGGAAGGTGATGGAGGAAAAAAAACAACACTTTTTCCTCCACAGAATGCCCGTACCACAGACCCCTGGGTTTCGAATCGGGATCCGTGTCCTCCAACCAGATCAGCTGCTCTAGCCAGGACCAGTACACCGGCTGGTACTCCTCCTGGACCCCCAGCAAGGCTCGCCTAAACAACCAAGGATTCGGGTGAGTGACCCAGTTAGCGTCTTACCCTGCACGTTCTGCAACAGAAACGGGATCTGTTGTTTTTGTTTATTTTTGTTGCTACAGGTGTGCCTGGCTGTCCAAGTTCAACGACCAGCACCAGTGGATCCAGATCGACCTGCAGGAGGTCGGGGTGGTGTCGGGGATCCTCAGCCAGGGCCGCTGCGACGCAGACGAGTGGATAACCAAATACAGCATCCAGTATCGCACCGTGGAGACGCTCAACTGGATCTACTACAAAGACCAAACAGGAAACAACAGGGTGGGTCCACCAAACGGCGGTCAGGTCGTAAGAGTGACTGACAACTGCAATGTTAGCAAGAGCTACCTCTTATTGTGACGCTGCTAATGCAGTGCATAATAAAGGTACTGGTTCTGCCGCCTCACTTCGGCCAGAGAAACTGCAAAAAAGGATTAGAAACAAGACATTTATGGACATTTGTCTTCAGCTCAACACTTTGGAGAAACATATTTTGTTGCAAAAGCAGCTACAATGGAGGGATGTCTAAACCAGACTGAGGCTTATTACCATTCGTCTCTGCAAAAATAACTCGCCATAGATTTATATTAGATAAAAGTTTAGACTTTGACAAGGCCATTCCGACACTTAAATAAGCTCTGAGGACTTCCAGGATTGCTTTCACTTTCCCATCATTTCTACCTCTCTTCCCTCACTCAGAGGTTCACTCAGATATCTGATATCTGAAAACACCGGATTGGGCTGGACTTCATTTTCGGCGTAAATAGGAGCTAATATTTCTCCTTCTCCTCTCACATTTGCAAGCTTAGTTTGAGATAGTCTGTCAAAGAAACTTGAGGTTTTGTGGCTGCAATGTGACAAAACGTTCAAAGGTTTACAAGATGTGAATACTTTTTGGGTTTTTCTGCAACAAAATGTGTGGAACGACGACAGCAAAACGAGTCATTTCGCTTCTCTTTTCCTCAGGTCTTCTATGGAAACTCTGACCGCTCCTCCACCGTGCAGAATCTGCTGCGGCCCCCCATTGTAGCGCGTTACATCCGCCTGCTGCCTCTGGGCTGGCATACCCGCATCGCCGTCAGGATGGAGCTGCTGATGTGTATGAACAAGTGCATCTGAAGACGAATGGGTCCGCTCTTTCGTCCCACATTCACCCGTTTCCTGCCAACAACAACTGAAAAAAAGGAAGAAAAAAGGAAGAAAAAAAAAAGGGCCCCCAAAAAAAAAAGAGGGCATCGATCCAACACTGACACACTCAGTGTCTCACATTTGTCCTTGAACACGCCTGCTGGAGACATCCACACATTTTCAATCGCCAACGAATTGAAGGCAGTGTTGGATCAGTGGTTTGAGAACCCGGAAACATATTCACATCTCGCTTTTGAGGATTAAAAATTTGAAAAAGCTTTGCATTGTTTGAATCAAGTGAGCTTGTTTTATTGGAGATTTACAGTTACAGATGTAAAACATGAATATTCTAAAGTCAATACGCTTATGTCGAGTTAGGGATCCGTATTCTCCCTGTTTGGGGGGGAATAAAGGAAAAAGGAAAACGATAATAAGCAGGTCAACACAGACTATGCTACTAAATCGTGTCTGTAACAAAAAGCACAAACTTAACACTTGATCTCGTTTAAACAGCTGATAAAACATTGTTCTGTTATAAATATTACCAAACAAGTAGTCACACGTCAGTATTAATATAATACATGGTGCTCCTTTGGAAAAAATGGTAAATTTCAAAGAGAGCGACGTACCGTGACAAGTACAGTCCGTACGGACGCACAACACGACGCGGCCGCGTCTCTGACACGGTCCTCTCTCAAACACACACACATGCACGCGCACACACACACACACACACACACACACACACACACACACACACACACACACACACACACACACACACTGTGCATATGAAGAAAAGGAAGTGAGAAAGAATTTACATGAGTCAGGACAATATTGCTGAGCCACAACAGCTCTTCAAGGTGCAACATTTAAAAAAAGGGGTTAAGACTTGTTTCTGCAGAGCTGCTCTCATGGCACTTCATTTCCAACAATAAAAAAACAAAACAACAAAAAAAACAAAAAAACAAAACAGTGTTACAGTACTGGGCTTCACTCTGAGATTATCTGAAAAACTCCTACCAAATGGTTCAGCTGGTGTAATCAGTCCAAAAACACAGCAGTGCAGTAACTCCTAGCCAGGTCAAAGAGTCGGTACCTGAAAACGCTGCATTGAAACGGAATGGGTTAAATAATATTTTAAAAAATAAATAAATAAATAAAAGCATGCTTTGCAACTTAAAGGACATGAAATATTGTAAACATGAGCGAACCGTTACATTAAAAATGATTGGCATGCCAGGTAAAGATGTTTCCCAAAGCTTTCAAGTATTTACATTTTTTTTTACCTCCCTTTACACTCCTACTGTTTGTTTGTTCACCAGGTAAACTGGGGTTGTCACCCACTTTTTGATTATTGTTCTGACAGTAGATAGGGGCAATTTAGGCCTTAATTAGGAGTACAAGTTATCAAAAATAATAAGTAAATCTAAAGTTGATTGATTTGACCAATCGACTATAACGATTAGTTGATGAGCGGCCGTTTTCTTTAAAACTTGAGTTTTTCACGTATAGACATAAAGGTGTTTATATTTTAAAACAGAACCGTATGAAGTTCCTTTTGCGTCCCACACTCCACAACGGGTGTGCCACCGCCATTTTTATTTCTGTTTCGACTGACTCAACTTAGGGTTCACCAGCATCGCCCTCTGCTGGATGGAGGGCAAATTGCAACACTAAAAACAAGGTCTAAGTGGACGTTATCAGTTAATCCGTTTGATCTAATTTTAATCGACAGTTAATCGTAAATCGATTGATTGTTTGTGTCTCTAGTTTCAATGCAATTAGCTAGTTCTCATTTTGAAGACTGCCCAAACACTCTTAATGCTCTTGGGAGGACAAAAGCAGTGGACAGCATCTCAGATCCTCCACTATACCATACAGAGAGTATGAGGTGCTTATTTAAATTTTTTGTTTCTTACCACCCCACCTGGAGTGTTTACTGGTGAAAATCTTAACCTTAATTTCATCCAACATAAACAAGTGGTTCCAGGTGAAGCCGCCAGTTTTGTTATGTTTCGCCAGAAATGTTTTTTTTTTATCTGGCATTACTCACACATAACAGTTTGGTGTGTGGACGTACAATGGTTGTCATGGAGATGTGGAGACTGAAAACAAGACGCTCCTGGATGCTCTGTAAGAGGTGAACAGTGGAGATTTGTTCTGGGTGAGTTAAAAGGAAATGGGCCTGTGTGTCATCCCATGAAGATGAGAGATAAATATTAAAATATTTTTTTATAAAATTCTGATCAACTTTAAAGGAGAAAGTACAAAGGTCAGAGGTGCCAGCAGCAATAATGACAATTTTGTTACAAACAATTATGTATTACTGTAGACTTTTCTTTACTCTGTGAATACATATATTAAATGTTAAAGTTGGCTTTAAAAAACAACAACAACAAAAAAAACCAATTCACGGTAAAATTATGCCATTAAAGGGACATAATTCATTCCAAGACATTTCACACATCTTTACCCAGGTTGCCAACAACTATAAGGGCGCTATAGCTGAATAACTAGATGAAATAGTTGCTCAAATAATTTATAAATTATAAATAGCAAAACATAATAATAATAAAGAACAGAAAGTCGTGGTAATAAAGGCTGAAAGCGGCTGGAAATAGCACACACATTGGTGCTTTTAGCAGAATGTGACAAAACCGATGCAAATAAGGGTAAATAAACTGCTCAGACCTTAAGAACTAAAGGTTCATATTAATTTATGCTAAAGATAAAATACTGATAATATCCACATAAAAAAACATAACGTGTTCCTTTGAGAGTCACTGCACCATTATGAATGGCTTTTATGATCCTCTAGCTGCTGTAAAAACACTTTCTTACAGTCAGAAACGTTTTACTTATTTCTACGGCAGCTAGGGGTTGGAGGGTTTGGAGTGAGTTCGTGCATTTCTAAAACGGACTGAAGTCGAGCCACTGTGAAGGTTCTTTTATTCACTGGAGGAAAAAAAAAGTCTTCATCGTCAGCTTCAGATGTCCTCTACCATTAGCTGCATCCATGAAATGTGCACAAAGCACAGCAAGTTTAATGAATTGATCAAATTTAAATACTTTTACCTAAATGATCTCATAAACATTTATCAGACGTTTCGCTCTGTTCAGACCGATTCATGATCTGAAGCAGGAATAACGACGTGACTGTCAAGAAACAGTCAATGCAGTGTTCTATCATGACCCACAGAGGGCAGTGTAGGTCAGAGTATAGAAGTTTAGTTTATGGTTACATTATTTCTAAAATGGCCGCAGTTCATAAAGACACAATAACCTTAATGTCCTACAAATGAGCAGTCAGATGTTTAGACCATCTCACTGTCGGTGCAGCTGTGATTTTTTTCTTTTTTCTTTTTTTCGTTAGTAGAACAAGAATGACAGAGCACATCCAAAAGGCGACACACCTGAAAGGAATTAGGATCGTGGGTGAGAGGTACATCGGGTCTGACGTGAGCAGTAACAACTGGCTCGACTTGATGTGTTCAGAATGCTTTAGTTTAATCTTAAGTTAATACTACACAGTAAAATGTACCATATTTCTATATTTAATAAAAGCAAAAAATACTTGCACTTAAAATCTACACTTTACCTATCCATACATATATATCTCTATATGTATATATATACCGAATTTGTAACATATTTACTTTATAATACAAATCTGATTTTAGAATTACAGAAGTAATAATAATATAAAGTCTATCAAACATGGAAGCTTAAAAAAATTACGACATAAAAAGGCTTTCGGCCCGTTTGCAAGCAGTGTTTACGACAGAAGGTTTGGTGTTTTGGTGTGTGTGTGTGAAGAGTGTGTGCGCCCGTTTACGGAGGGGGACGTGGGGGTGAGAGGTGTAGGAGCAACAGAAGGGAAGCGGGATGCCGAGGTGGGAGGAGCGCGAGGGGCCGACGACTACAGCGCTGTCTCTTTCAGGTCGTTGAGGTTCGGCATGCGTGACCGGGACGGGCGTCCGAAGCCGTGCCCGTTCTGGCCCCCTTTGACACCCATTTGCTCCGGGTACGGGTTGCCCTCCGGCCGCCCCAGGGCGGACGAGTGCCAGCCGGGCTCCAGCTGGCCCGGCAGCGGGTAGGCTCCCTGTCGGCTCTTGAGCTGGGGCGTGCTGACCCCTGAGTGACCCCGGCTTTCGGAGAAACCACCCTGAGCGGAAGCCGAGTTAGGCAGCGGCTGGTAGCGCATGTCGGAGGATGCCGTCTGGTTGGAGGAGGAGGAGGAGAGGTGCAGCAGCTTACGCAGGGACTTCAGGGGCTGACTCTGAAAGACCAACAAAGAAACCACCCAGCGGTGGGATTTTTCAGTGCAGAGCAGGGTCGGATCTACAGGGGGGATGAAAAGGGGAAACAGCCCCCTTAAATTTCTTGTGTTCCTCATATTCTGTGTACACCCCATGTTTCACCAAGCCCCCAATATGAAAAGCAAAAGTGAATTTTAAACATCTTTTAAATATTTTGCCTGAAGCAACAACTTGCAATTCACAATAAATTGCGGGAGTTCCTGAATTTTCCCACTTCACATTTATTCAAAATATAAATAGCACTGCCTATTGTATTATTTTTTGTATTGGTGACAGTATTGTTACATTTCATTCACAAAAACCTGTTCTTTTTTGCTCTCTATAGAATGGCAAAAAGGCACACAGGCAGCACATAACAATATTGTTACATTTCCATCAGGAGATTTTAGACGTTCCCACATTTCTAGACATAGTTTTTACTAAGTTTTTAAGTGAATGTGGGTTTTACTTGCCATTCTGGTCTTTATAGATTAACAGTCAGAGTCTAACAAGCTGATATTATCTGGTCAATAAGCCACGTTACTGGTTAGCTAGCCTGCACTCTGCTGCTTTACACACAATCTGCTTTAGCCACTTAAAACCCAATTGTACTTCTAAAAAAGTATTACCTTAACGATAATAGTCGTTGCTTCTTTAGTTTTCAGGGTATAACTTTCTAAACACCTGACTTTCTCACTTCAGTAATGTGTGAAGATCGAGCGCTGAGCAGCTCCTCTACTTTTAAAATACCTTTCTCTTGCATTTTATGAAAAACTTTGGAACAGAAAGTTACGATCTCATCGTAACTTTTTAAAGCTGTGGTATACATTGAAATCGGTAACCAGCCCATACATCTACCAGTTTGCCACATCTACCAGTTTGCCTAAATCTTCTTTACAAACCACTCTTGGGTTTGGAAATTTTGAGTTTTCCGGAAGTTTGATACGTTGTCCTCATTTAAGACTCAAAATTTAATTTGAT